CTTTGAAGATTCCACTAAACCACATCATGTGTGTCGATTATTGAAGTCTCTTTATGGGTTGAAACAAGCTCCTCGAGCTTGGAATGAGCGTTTCACTACTCATTTGCTCACTCTTGGTTTTATTCAATCCTTGGCTGATACCTCTTTGTTTGTTCGTGCTTCTGGGAGTGATCTTCTTGTTCTTCTATTGTATGTCGATGATATCATCTTGACTGGTAATAATGGTGTCTTGATTCAGCAAACAGTTACAGCTCTAAGCCGTGAATTTGATATGAAAGATCTCGGCCAATTAACCTATTTTTTGGGACTTCAAATTCATTACACTTTCACAGGTATTCATGTTAACCAATCAAAATATGCCACTGATCTTCTTATTAAAGCTGGTATGACACAATGCAAGCCTTGTTCTACACCATGTTTACCTACAACAAAGTTATTCAAGTTTGATGGCAAACCTCTATCTGATCCTACACTCTATAGGAGTTTAGTAGGTGGTCTTCAATACCTTACCTTCAGCAGGCCTGATATTGCCTTTGCAGTGAACACTCTTTGCCAGTTTATGCATACACCTACAGATACACATTTTGCTGCAGTCAAACGTGTGTTGCGCTACTTGGCTGGTACTCTGACCCATGGTATTCATTTCACCTCTGGTGATGCTCATCTACAAGCCTACTCCGATGCAGACTGGGCAGGTGATGTTAATGATCGACGCTCCACGACTGGGTATGTTGTATTTCTTGGCAATAATCCTATCTCTTGGTGTGCAAAGAAGCAGAGCACAGTTTCTCGTTCTTCAACAGAAGCCGAATATAGGGCTCTTGCTATCACTGCAGCTGAGTTATCCTGGCTCCGCCAACTCCTCTGTGATCTTCATGTTTTTCTTGATCGTCCACCTGTCCTTTGGTGTGACAATATTTCAGCTCTAGCTCGTGCTAGCAACCCTGTGTTTCACTCCCGCACTAAGCACATCGAGATCAACTTTCACTTCATCCATGAAAGTGTTACTCGGGGTGATCTGCTGGTTTCTCATATCCCTAGTAGTAATCAACTTGCTGACATCTTTACTAAAGGCCTGCATATTTCTCCGTTTTCTTATCTTCGAAACAATCTAATGCTTAGTCCCCCAAGCATTATCTTGAGGGGGGATGTTAGCCTACAACCCAAACCACCAGATTGTAACTCATGATTCAATACCTTCTGTCACGTGTCTGTTAATGAGGGATGAGCTGGC